ACACAGCCTCCACACAGCCCCCACACACCCCTCACAGAGCCCCCACACAGCCTCCACACAGCCCCTACACAACCCTCACAGATTCCCCACACATCACTTACACAGCCCCCACACAACCCTCACACAGCCCCTACACAGCCCTCACAGAGTCCCCACACAGCCCTCACAGAGTCCCCACACAGCCCTTACACAGTCCCCACACAGACCTCACACAGCCCTCACACAGCCTGCACACAGCCCTCACACAGTCCCCACACAGACCTCACACAGCCCTCACACAGTCCCCACACAGTCCCCACACAATCGCCACAGAATTAAGTTTTAAAATAATTAAAAACCTTCTTCCATTTTTGCCTTCAAAAGCTCCAGACCATAGAGCCGCATATTGGCTTATAAGCACATTGTGATTCTCAGAGTCGGTGGGGTGAGAACCTTCATAGATATGATGGTTGAGGTTTTCTTCATCGTGGATTTGGGAGCCTGAATTCCACCTCTTTATGTAACACAATATGGAAGTTATGTCTATTTTTCTGATCTTTTCAGAGAAGAATGGACTCTCCATCTGTAAATTAACAGCGTGACAGGATGTCCAACCTAACATCAAATGACACCTCTCTGCAACCTTCCCCTAAGGATCCTATACCATGGAGAGTAGAGACTGCCTTATGTGTCATCACCGTCCTCTTCTGTGTCCTTGGGCTGGTCGGAAACACCATCGTCATGTTCTACTTCTGTTTCAGAATTAAACTTAGCCAGTCAACAGTCTACATCCTGAACCTGGCCGTGGCCGACTTCCTGTTCTCGGCCGGATGCTGTATTTTTTTTATATACCTCCTGTGCCTATTCAATGGCGTGGCCACCTCTGCTGAGAGTAAAAGCGCCATGGCTAAATTTGGAGAACTGCTGATCAGTTTTACATATAACGCAAGCCTCCTTTTCCTTGTGACTCTCAGCTGTGAACGGTGCCTCTTGGTCTGTTTCCCCCTTTGGTATAAATGCCGGCGGCCGACCTACCTCTCGGCCATATTGAGCGCCGTTATGTGGGTCTTTTCCCTTCTGATAACGGTATTGGAACGTTTTCTAATACCGGATCACCGCTCTACAGTTTATATTGTGACATCCGCCGTGTTCCTCCTTCTCACTCTCCTCATGGTTGGTTCCAGCGTGGTCTTTCTCATACAGATCCAGAAGTCATCAGCACATTGTCGTCCCTTGAAGCTGTACATTGTGGTTGTCGCCGCCATCATAAACTATCTCATCTCACTGGCTCCATCCAGAATTTTAAGAATGGTGTTTTTTTTGGCTATTGTACCAACATCCTACATGAGAATTATCTCCATCATTGTGATCTGTCTGTGTTCAGCATTCAACTCTGCTGCCAACCCATACATATACATTATTGTCGGCAGGTGGAAGAAGAAGATCTCCACTAAACAGGCCTTGGAATTGGCCTTCAGGGAGGATTCACAACAGACGTCCGAGGAGAACATCACAATGGGGAGTCAACGGTCTGATTCTGAAAGCAAACCAGAGGCCCCAGAGCTAGACAGTAGCAGAAGCTTGTAGACCGGAGTACAAATGTTCCAGAATCTACAAAGAGTCTGAAAATGAACAAGCTGCTCATATAGGCTGCAATAATGTTTGACAATAAGAAAGTAGTCATCGTGGTGAGGAGCAAGAATTGACCTTCCTCAACAGAATCAGTTTAGGAGTTTACAGCCCTTAGAATCAGGGGTGTCAAACTCAATGTAATCGGGGGCCGCGTCAACATTATGGTTGCCCTCAAAGGGCCTGTAAGACTATATAAATGTATCTAATCTTTATCATAAATTGCCTCAGCATTCCATTATCACTGGTTTTAGTAATAACTTAATACCTAGATCTGAAAGTAGAAGTCTAGGAAATGGCCTGGTGGGCCGGATTTGGGCCCCAGGGCCTTGAGTTTGACACATGTGCCTTAGATCTCTAGAGAGCTCCTGAAAGCTCATAAGGTGAGAACAAATATTTGTTACCACCAAAGATACTCATAAAACTGAACAGGTGATCCTCACGGCTATATGGATAATTGTTAGCAGTTTTCTTTTGTTTTCTCTTCTTATTATTATGATATACCTAATCGGTACATCCTACCGCTAGAGAGTTTATCACAAAGTTGTGATCTGGTTCCTCATTTATTAATACCTGGTTAAATAAACATCCTGCATGTCTAGATCACAGTCTGCGTACTGATGCATGATCTATATTTTCTGTCATATATGTATTGCTTCTTATATGGCTTTTTTTTTAATTCAAATAAAATCTACCATGCTTAAAAAAAAAAACTGAACAGGTGACTATGGGATCACCTCCCCCAATTTCTGGTCCCCCTCTGTACAATTCTAGGCTTCAGTCATTTACTTCCCTTAGAACATCAGGCTGTGGGGGATCCTGGGGCCCGTCTGAAGGCTCCTTCCTTGCATTCAAGGAACTGGAAATATATTTACGCCTTCCTGAAGTACCTCTTCAAGTTGATAGATAAATAAACATTCCTATGTTTATCTGGGTGTACCATTCCATGTTCTATTGGTCCATATTTTAGGCTTGTCCATAACACCCAACCTATGAAGGCAAGTCCATCCAATACTAATATAAATGTGCTTTGCAGATGCTGTAGACTTCACCCTGTGACAGTCTTTTCCTGATGAGATGCCATGGGACGTGCATTGTATGGCCTGTCCGTATGTCAAAATGACAGATGGGAGTTGCTATGTAAATACAGAAGATGTCAAAGTTACTTCTATCAGAAGATGGACAGTCTGGCACAATGTTTACCAGAGGGGAGATGGGAGATACATTGTAACTTTTGTATCTACTTGGCTTCAATCTGCATAACAGTCAGTTAAAGGAGAACTATGGGGTTAAGCATTTTCCCCATAGTTCTCCTTAGGGTAACGGGAGGACACAAAATAGCGTCCTCCTGTCACCCAAAGCTCAGTATATAGGGAGCTGTAGCTCGCGGTATACTGAGAAGCCGCAGCTGAAGCGGATCCCGACAATTATGTCTGGATCCGCCCAGCTGCGTGACTGACAGCTGGCTCTGCCTATCTAGAGGCAGAGCCAGCTGTGCACGCCCCGTCCGTTCCGCCAGTCAGCGCTGGAGGATCGGAGCGGGGAGGGGGGAATCCAGCCCCTCCCCTGTCATGGCAGAGAGCCGTGACAGGATCGAGAGGTGAGCGAGCGCCGGTATGTGTTCCCTCACCTCCCGATCTACTGAGCCGACCTGTGACAGTCTCATTGTCACAGGTCGGCTAGAACTATTAGGTGAGTGGAAAACACCCCCCCTCATAGTTCTCCTTTAAAGCAACCTGGCAAGTAAAAAAATATATATATATTTTTTGAGTAATGTTTGTTCCCTTATTACCTTGTTACTCTAATTGGCCTTCGTTAACTCCTTCTTCTCCTTCTCTCCTTTAACTATTATTTTCCTGTTTTTTTTAAACTTTCTTGTTTACTAACCATTAATAATTAAACTTTTTTTTTTTTGCTCTTTAAATTTCTAGTGTCAGGTTCAGAAAACTCAAAATGAAAAAAAAAAGATATTTTATTCATAAATAATTTTGAAATGCTTTGTACCAGAATCATAATTTGTGTTGCCATTTTAAACTGGACATACTATAAAATGTATACTTTTTTTTTTCTTTCAAATTATTTTTATTTTCCATATAAAAGGAATTTACCACTAAAGCTGCCCACACACCTTACAATTTATCTGCAGATTTTCTGTGGTCAGATGGAAAAGTGCAACAGATTCCTCCATCTATGCTACACTGTGTGGACGGAGTAATCTCTACCTGGGCCAATCTGTTGCACTTTTTCCATCTGACCACAGAAAATCTGCAGATAAATTGTAAGGTGTGTGGGCACCTTAAGGGTGCCCACACACCTTACGATAATCGTACGATAATGGCGGGAAATCCCGCAATCGTACGATTATCGTAAGGTGTGTGGAAGCCGTGCGACCCCTACTACTGTACGGTCGCACGACTTTTAACTTACAAACATGTTTGAAAACCCGCCGAGCATGGTACGATGTTCGGCGGGTGTGTAGCATGTTCGTAAGATAAAAGCCGGACAGGCCGGTGTGCGCAAGCACACACTGCCCGTTCGGCATTGCGGTCATTGGAAGCCCGCCCCTCAGGGGGGCGCGGCTTGCGATCATCGCAAGTACGATCTGCCTGTCCAAGATAGGCAGATCGTACATTTTTTTAAGTACCTTACAACTAATCGCAACACAAAAGTCTTGCGATGGTTGTAAGGTGTGTGCCCAGCATAACAAAGATATCAAACTGTGTAACACGGATCAAAGAACAGGCACATTGCCCAAATAAGTTCAATTTAGAAACACCCTCAGCAGTTGCAATGCTAATTAAAAATACATAACCAATGAATAAAAGAGGGAGAGGTAACATATTATTATAGCTATTCATTAGCAACAGGAAGTTGAAACCCAGTAACAACACTGGTAACAATAGATTGTTTACATTTCTGTTACTATTTTTGTCTATGGATCACATAAAATATCAAATACTTTTGCAAGAGAATATTATCATAAGATTGATGATTGTCCTAATAAAAAATACAATGCCAAATGATTATAACTGCCTAATAAACAGGCCCATAACAAAAATGTAAACGTTGTTTTGGTGCATAGGCGGAGTACAGGTGTGAGATCCGAACTCGTTAATATTCTACCTGTAAATATCACTCCGCCCTACACCCTCCGAGCAGTGATTGCTCTGAATGTGTTCTATTATCTAATGCTCTGTGTCACGCTGGATGATCCGGGCACTCGGCGTGTTTCGGGAAATAACCTGATTGATTATATGTTGTGTCATTGCGTGGCAATACCACGGTGTTAGGTGGCCTCAAAGTCACCCAGGGTTCTCAGCCAGAGGGGCTGAGTGGCTCCAGGAAGACATTACTGGTACCAGGAGAGAACTGCCTTTTCTACTTACCAAAAGCCAACTACTACCGCTGAGATGTACCCGCAATACCCCCTCCCCACCGAAATTACCTAGTCTAAAGGTGCCCATACACCTTACGACCATCGCAAGACTTTTGTCTTGCGTTGGTCGTATGCTTATTGAAAGCTCGTACGATCTGCCCACCTTGGACGGGCAGATAGTACTTGCGATCATCGAAAGCCCGCTGAGGGCAATGCAGAACGGGCAGTGTGGACGAGCAGGCTAGAAACCCGCCGACAATCGTACGATTTTTAGGCGGGTTTTCGAGCATGTTGGTTCCCGATACCCGTTACCCATTATGAGAACGCTAAAGAACTTTTTTTTTTTATGTAAATTTTGCTCTGTTCTGTTTTTTTTTTTTTTTTCTTTATAACTTATTTCTTAGATCTTTAGGTATTTAACTCATGTTAGCTAGATAGTCAACCCTGGCATAAATGTCATGGATGCCGTCTGATTCCAGCATATGTCGTTTATATATTTTGTCTGTTTCCTGATAACTCCAATGTTATGGAGGCTCTTTAGAGTAATAGATGACATCTAACCTTTTCATGATCTGCAAATCTGCTATATGACACCTTGTTGTATTAATCTGTATTTGTTTCATCAATAAAATCTTATTGCTAAAAAGAAAAAAAAAAAAGAACTGCCTTTTCGGTCCTTTCCTTGTTTTCTGGATCCTAGTTGGGATCCTGGAGCCAGGAGATTTCCCAGAGCTCTGGGTGGGACGAAATCTCCAGTCCTGGATCCGTGGGTTAGTAGTGACCAGCACCTGATTGTGCACCTGTGTACAACCCTCATGAAGAGTGTGCTGGGATGTGCTCAGGGCCCCCACCTAAAGGTGCCCATACACCTTACGACCATAGCAAAACCTTGCGATGGTCGTAAGTTCATTGAAAGCTCGTACAATCTGCCCATCTTGGACGGGCAGATCGTACTTGCGATCATCGAAAGCCCGCCCCGCTGAGGGGCGGGCTTCCGATGACCGCAGTGAGGGGCGGGCTTCCGATCACTGCAAACAGGCAATGTGCGCGTGCGCACACCTGCCCGTTCGGCAGTTGTCGAACAAGCAGGCCACTGATCCGCCGAGAATAAGCCTGCTTGTTCGACAGAAGACGTGCGACCGTACAGTAGAAACGCCTTCCATACACTGTACGATCGCGGGATTTCCCGTGATTCTCGTACGAGAATCGTACAGTGTATGGGCACCTTAAGAGTCAGGAGAACTCCACCTAGGAGTCAGTGGAGGCCAGCGCAGCACTGAGCTGAGGGTGTGTGAAACCTATGGTGCAGGTTGGCACGTTACTGAGAGTTGTCTGGAGGTAACAGACAGTGGTCCTGAGGATTGAGGACGGAGCAGCAGTGCTGCAAGAGAGAAGTGTTACAGGACTGGGACACTGTGAGTGTGAGAGAAAACTCGAGGATTGGTGAGCCCGTATCTGTTATATGCTGCAGCAAGCTATTTTATGTTGGACTTCTTGATTGTCTACCTTTTGGAAAGAAAAAATAAAGACTTTGCTAATGGAAAAACGTTGTGCGAGTGCTCTGTGAGCTCCCCAACATCAC